GACGGGGACTCTGCCCCATCATTTGCCACCGTAAAAGATGGACAGCTGAATTTAAACGTGGTCATACCAGCTTGGCTGATGATGAGCGTTCGGAACGACGACCACCGCTGATAACATCGAAAATGTTCACAAATGATATTGAACGACCGTCGAATCAAGGTTAGAGAGATGCAGAGGCTATGGGCATATCGAAAGAACACGTTTGTCATATATTGACTGAAGAATTGGATATGTGCAAGCTATCCGCGCGTTGGGTGCCGCGCTTGCTCACTTTGGATAAAAAATGAATTCGAATGAACATTTCCAAGGCTCTGTTGGAGCGATTCAAGCGAAACGAGTCAGATTTTTTGCGTCGATTCATAACTGTAGATGAAACTTGGCTCCACCACTACACTCCAGAGACAAAGAACAGTCAAAACAGTGGACTGCAAAGGGTGAACCTGCTCCGAAAAAGATGAAGACGGTTCCATCAGCTGGGGAGGTAATGACGACTGTTTTTTGGGATAGTCACGGAATTGTGTGTATCGACTATCTTGAAAAAGATAAAACGATAACGGGAGCATATTACGCATCATTACTTGATAAACTGAAGGCAGAAATTGCAAAAAAACAGCCGCATTTGAAGAAGAAGAAGTGCTGTTTCATCAAGACAACGCACCTGCTCACACTTCGACGGTCGGCATGGCCAAAATTCACAAACTGCACTTCGAATTGATTGACCACCCACCATATTCACCAGATCTGACCCCCAACGATTTTTTCCTGTTTCCTAAGCTTAAAGTTTCGCTTTACGGAAGACAGAGATTTTCATCGAACGAGGAGGTCATCACATACGTAAACGCCTATTTTGCGGAGCAAGACGCCAACTACTATTTGGAGGGGTGAAAGAGGTTAGAGTATCGATGGGAAAAGTGTATCGACTTAAAAGGAGATTATGAAAAATAAAATTATATTTGACCGAAAAAATACTTGTTTCTATGTTAGGCTCAAAACGTTTCAGACTACCCTCGTATATACACTCATATACATTTATCAAGATACTTTGCTACATTATTTACCTCTGTCAAGCTAATACAATCAAATCAACACAATGAAACTGGACCTATTCATTTAAGTAGAGATTAGAGATAGTTATTAAAGGAATGGCGAACAACATTTGAAACTTTATATTTTAATGGTATATATTATAGCATTTCGATTATAGTAATAGAGATTGTTTCTGCTTGTGGTGAAATATATGTGGTGATATATTTCTATTCTTGATGCTAGTAGGTTTGAATTAATTGGAGGTTGTTTCAATAGGAATGGATCAATTTTTTTTTTTTATGTAGCCCTGCTAGCTTGAGGGAATGCTGACGAGCGAACTCCAACGAAAATGTTCATACATATGCATATCTATACATGCATCTACATATACATAGATACATTTATGTATATATACATAACATACACTCATACATACATTTCTGTACACATGATACACATATGAACAAATTTTTGAGATACTCCCTTGATGGTAAGTATCTAAGCTTAATTCTAAGAACTCAACGTTACTTTTTCATGTAATCTTTTAGTCTAACAATATCAGTTTTGTAAGTACAGACTGTAAAAATTTCATATAAAACAAATATTTACGCGACTTGACAGCGACTTTGGACGCCATTTTAAGGTACCAAATGATAAAAAAGATCTAAATTTAAAAATTTTTTTCTCGTTCTTGATATGAAATTTACATGCTAAGTACGTATTAATGCATAAACTTTAATTGTGGAAAAGAATTTCCAGATCTATAAAGTTAATAAAAAATGAGAGCAAT